GAGTGCGCTCTAGTCCAGTCGAAGACCCTACAGAAGATTACGGAACCGATGATTATTCAGGTGCGTACATTCATTTACTCTGGTTGTGCATATGCTGAGCACATAATAGCTTGAAGGAGTGACCTGAGACTCTGCATATGTAAAAAGTTAGTGAAACGGATTCTTATTTTAAGATCAGAACTGTTTGTTTTGTAATTTAAAGTTAGATATATACATTTCATCCTTTTGTGCTTGTAAGCATAGTTACATATTTTTAAGCTATGAAGAATGAACTGCTTTTCATGTAAGTATATAAAAAATGTATATACATACATATATGTATGCACACACATATATATATGAAGAACATTATCTTCTACATCTGTGTTCTTTCTCACTGATCCCTATAGAAATGTTTCAGCCTTTTCATTAGGCTTTAATAGAGTTAGATTTTTGGCACTGCAGAGTGCCAAAGTGGGCAGTTTCCTACATGTACCCCAACATTACGAGCATCATGTAGATGGTTAGGGCTGATGAATTGTAAGTATATTTCCAGCAATCAAATATCAGGACCAAGTTTGGTTTAAAAGTTTCTGTTACTGTAGTCTCCTGCCACAGCATGTCAGACCCACAGTCCCTATTCTAGATTGAGAGCTGCTGAACTACTCATTTTGGCAGGTGATGAAACACTACTATCTCTGCTGTAAAGGTCACTAACTTCTTAAGTTTTTGTATGAAGCAAACTCAATTTACTTCAAGATTTTATGATATGAGGAGAAATTACAAGGTGGCGGCAATCTCAACACATTTCATTGACGAGAGAGCAGTGATCCTGGAAGTTGTAACTTCACCCACAGGCTTTCTTCACTTACATAAAGGCAAGAGTTGATGATTTTCTCCTCCCATAGCATGAGGGACCGATTTGAGAACTGTAGACGTAGAATCACAGAATATCTCAAGTTGGAAGGGACCTGTAAGGATCATCGAGTCCAGTATGAGTGTGGGTGAGATGGAAGACGTGCTAATCAGCAAGTGTTAGCTGAGGCTTTTGCAGCATGTAGCAGCACAGAGGGGAGTGCGTCTGGGCCCTCGTGGCTGGTTCGCTGCAGTTGTGGTAGCCACTTAGACCAGCTGGTAACCAGCTGGTAACCAGAGTAGCCACTGATCGTGTTGTTCATAATTCATGTTGACCTGCTTCTTATAAGTGATTTTGCTAATAATTACTTATTATGAATTACAGAAGCAACTTTTCTTTCTGGTGGAGCCAAAGTACTATTTGGAATTCGAATCAAACAGGCAGAGTAATTGTGTTCTGCATTAAAATACTGTGTTTTAAGGGGTGCTAAGTAGTAAATGAGAAGTTTCAATCCCTTCACCCCCTATATTCTGATTTTATTACAGGACCCTGCAATGCAGAATGCAGTAAAGTAGGGTGTGATGGGCCAGGACCAGATCATTGTACTGACTGTCTGCACTACTACTACAAATCTAAGAACAACACACGGTAAGACAAAGAGAAAAAATCTTTACTTCATAGATGGCTTAGTGAATAACTTGACTTCCATTCCTCTTCTTTTTGTTGCAGTCATGGATAATTCATTTTCCACTGAATCTGACAAATTTTCTTAGGAGTTGGAAAAAAAAACCTAGCTAATCACAATTTAAAGTACATCCTTCAAATCCCTTTTCTGATTATTTCCCCATCTCTTGATTTTTTTTCATAAGAGGTTATATATATATTACTGTGATAGCTACTACAGCTCCTATGATTGAGTTTGAAAATCAGAAGAAATGTAGGTAGTCAAAAATGATACTGTATGACTGTCTGACAAGACATTTGCCAGTAAGATAGGATATGCTGTAAGGAAATAAATGTAAGAGAAGAGGCAGCTTGATGCCATGCTTTGGAGGGTTACATCTTAGTAAACATGTGATCATTAGAAAAGCAGCAATGCTGAGAAATACTTCTGCTTTGCAGTCATGGTCCAGGAATGTGTGGCAGGTTATTTCATTAACGACTCTGCCTTCTCTTCCCTGCTGTCTGCAGGATCTGTGTTTCGACCTGCCCACCTGGTCACTACAATGCAGACAAGAAACGCTGTAAAAAATGCTCACCCAACTGTGAAACCTGTGTTGGAGGCCATAGTGACCAGTGCATGACCTGTAAATCTGGCTACTACCTGAATGAAGTAACCAATAGCTGTATTACCAACTGCCCTGATGGGTTTTACCTGGATAAGAGTTAGTATTTCTTGTTGTTTCTTTATTGTGGGCTACAGAATTTGATCTGGGGAGGTTGCTGGAATATTTACAAGCCGGGAAAATGTATGTTGGATGCATCTATCTCTTATCCTATTCTTTTTACTAAGTTGTTGCTAAGTGTGATCAAGAAGATCCTCAAAAATTTTCCTTTATTTTAAAAACTCTGCTTAGTGCAAGGATGTCTCTTCTGCTTGTGGCTGCAGTAACAGTAGCAGAACAAGGGCAGTTCAAGAGCAAGTCAGCTGCGGGACAAGCAGGATCACTGCTCCAAGAAGGGGCAGGCAGCACCCACATTCTGAACATGAGGCATTCCCCATTCCCCCAGATGCAAATGTGGCACCAGAGAGAGCTAAGGAATCGACTATGGCCACTGAACTGGAGCTTTAAGAACAATAGGCTCCTCAGATGTAAAATGAGGTTACAGTTATTTTTTCCAACACACACAAGTACCTGCAGTGAAGTGATGACCCGAGAGCAGTAATTCTCTGCCATGTGAGACACCTGCCTTCAGTTTCCTCCCGTGATTGCCAAGTAGACTGCCCATGTTTAATTTCCAGCTTTGGCTTGTAAAAATACTTAGACATATGTTCAAACATGTGCATAAAACTGAAGTGACTTCAGTTATCTTTAGCCCCATCCTTAGTAGATAAACGTGTGCTCAGGAGATTTGTTCATCTAGGTACCTAGCTATTGGTTTCTGCATCATGAAGCTGTGTGTTCATTTCTGAGGATTAGTAAAAACAGGTACTACTTTAATTGTTCCATTTTTAACTGTGTGAGATCTACAGTAAAGGGAATTTCTTTCCACCCAATTAAGATGGATAGATGAAAATTTAGGATTAAGTGGGAACATTGGGTTTTTCTTCTCAGAAAGGTACACAGCACTGCATCTCAAAAGACAGCAGGTCTGAAGAGAGAGAGACATCTCTTAAGGTAGGGAGCTCTTGAGATGAAAAGTCACCTGTTAAGTGAATTTATGTGTTGACTTTGTTAAGATCAGACCTGTTCTTGCAGGTATGTCTTTAAGCACTAGATCAGGTAAGACAGGACAGGCTGCTTGCATGGGAAGTGTAAGAGGTAAACTGAAGGACAGTCTCTGGGACACATGGCAATCCTTACTTCATATCACTGCTGCATGAAAAGATTATTAAAGTCCATGTTATAAATAGTTAATGTAAACTAAAAATGTTTATGAAGATTTTTTTTATGACCTCAAAGCATATTTTTCTCAGGGTACACCTATATCTTCAAATGTTTAGAAATAGATTAAACCATTTGATTTTTTGATGGAAAAAACTAATGACAGTCAGAATTTAGCTAGTTTAGTCGAGCTTGCTACTTGTCTTCCTGATCTCAAGCTAGAAAGCAATGTCATGGAAGAGTATATCCATATAATTTTATTAAACATAACTGACCAAGGTTTTCTGGGCTGTTTTCTTTTTTTCCTTTGTAGATAAGATTGTTTGCAGAAAATGTAGTGAAAACTGTAAGACATGTGTTGAATTCCAAATCTGCACAGAATGCAAACATGGCCTAAGGTAAGGAAATGATGGATGTAGGTAAATACAATACCTGAAGAGGCTTTACAAGGCTGTGGATACACAATGAACATCAGATAGCTATTTAACCTTGAATGGCCCTCATTTCATGTGTTCCATGGCTGTTTAGGTTTTTTCTTGTGCTACTATGTTCCAGTTTGGCTAAGAATGGATTTTTAGACCTTTCATTTCAGGTAAAATAAAAGCCACAGTCATGTGGAAAGCTGGCTTCTTCACTTTTTTGACCTACACTGTGGCAGTCAAGGATTATTTTAGAGGTAGAGCTGATGAATCATATTAATCTTTCTGATTCATTCCTGTGATAGTTAGAAACTATTTTCTTATCTTTGTTGAATTTCTTCATACATCCAGTCATTCACTTATCTCAAGTACCTCAGGCTCAATTCTATTACAGTATAGTGTGTACATATTTTAAACAGCAGTGGGTATTTTTTTCTTCAAAGGGCGACTTAATCATTCTTGAAACTGATAGGTAAAACCTACAAAGCAGCAGTACACATTCCAAGCTCCGTTATGAATGAATGACCTTTTGATCCGAACCACAAAGGTCAAAAATCTTATAAAACTCATGACAGAATGTATGCTGGCTTTATGCCACCAAAAATAATGAAGTCAGTATTCAGTATCTGTAGGGGTTCTTCTTGCAGAATATGAGTGTTCTGCAAATTTTTTAACACTGAGCTTTTATTTTCCGTCAGTGTGGATTTTCATCTCAGTAAAAGCTGAATGTTGTTTCTTTCTAGGACATCAGTAGCTGGATTTCTTTACACTTTGTAAAGGAATTCTAATTTCTGTGTATTTATGTTATATCTAGATTTTCTAGGTGCCTGCACCATTTTTATTACAAATATCTATTTTTTAAAAAGTGATGCATTTAAAAGGAAGTGTAATTTAATGGGAAGGAAAGCATGGGATTGGATCAGAACATGGGTCTATTTACACTCTCTGGAGATACAACATTTTAATAACATTTTAAATGTCATGAAGTTTGCAGTCCATGTTAAGATTTTGGAGAATTTTAACAGACTTATTGTGATCTTCTGTGTATTTGCAAAATCAAATTAGTAAATGAGCAGTTTAGAAGTTCCTGCAATGGGCAAATATGTCAGGAGACCAAAGATTACATAGATGTGTGAGCTTATAGAACACAGTTCTGGTAGAAAATTTATGCCCACTTCTTTTTTTTTATTTCTTGGGAAATTAGTTTCCTTGTCCATTAGCACAAACAGCAGCTTGTAGCACCACTACAAGAAGAAAGTAGAGCAGTCCATTCGGTGTGAGAAGAGGAAAAATTTAAATATAAAAAATCAGAAGAAGTCAAATTTCATATTTTCTTGGCAAATATTAGCAAACTGAGATTGATTTTCTGTAACATTTTGAAAAAAAAACACCATCTGTGTGTCTGTGACAGATACATGGAGCCTTGCAGGACATGCATTTCATATTCCGCAGTTGTTAGAAACTTGCTGCGTTTTTTTAGCAGAATTATCAATGGGCAGGGCCCTGTGAGGAACTTGGGAGACCTGGATTCCAGTTACTACCCTGTTAAATAAAATTGGTCAAATTACTAGTTTTCCCATCTGTAAAAACATAATGCTACCTGCCTTGTAAAGCACTCTGAGGTGTGTGACTGGGGAAAAATAATAAGAAAGCAGGAGTTGTTAAGTTTGTTGAATTTGTAATTTTATTTTTTTTTTCTAAACTGGGACCATATATACCCTTGAAAATTTCCAGTGATGCTGAGCACACACATCTGCAGTTGGATCCAGTCTGTAAAATAGGGTTAGCATTCACTCAGGGTGGTCATCCCTAGAGCTGACAAGCATTTTCAGAGAAAGTGTTAAATTGGATGAAAACTGAGGTTCCACAGAAGATGGTAAACATGGCAGAGAAGTCCTAGCATAAAGAAACCCCGCACAACAAAACCACTGTAGGCACCTTATAACATGAAAGCATAAACAGCTACTTAGAGGAAATAGGACTCTATGCTATTTCTTTTCCTCTGTTACTCACTCTTTTGTGCTCTTCAAAAGTGCCTGCGGGCAGAATACCTCCAACTGTAATCTTGACAAATATCCAACCCACTCAGAACCGGCATTCAGATAGGAGGTTTCAAAGGGAACACTATTGCAGAAAGAGGTGGTGATTTCCTACCCTGTGAATCTATTCTTAGCCCGTGCTCAAACACAGTATCAGGAGATGCTGCCGGTCTTTCAAGAGAAGCACGAGATCTTGTTAACAAGTCCCTCAGCAGGTTTTTTTAATACAGTAGTGCTGACCCTGTGCCAAATTCCTCATGGGTAATTGCATTTTACATGCCTGAATTTTTAGTGCTCTTTGGCATTGTTCGTTTTTTTCCCTGTCCGCTACTACTTGGTAGTATTTACAATGAGTTTGTAAGCAGCTCCTGTATTTCACCATGGGCACTTCATTCCCACTTGAAGTGATTGCTGCCTCCAAATTCATAAAATATGACCAATGAAGGAAGCTGATGTATCCTAATACATGACTTGTTCTTTTATTAAAAGAGAAAGACTGGTTTATGCGTGACCTTGTTGTCCTCTCTTGCTGTTACCTTCCCAAACACTGTGCTTTTTCCCCTTTTTACAATAGTTTGCATGGCACTAAATGTGCTATCCGCTGTGAAGATGGAAAATACCACAATGGCAGAGAATGTGAACCATGTCACCGTTCCTGTGCCACATGTGCAGGTACCCCACTGGTGTTTATCTGCATCATATCCTTTCCACTATATTTTTGGCTCTGATTTTATTCTACTATGTCACAGTTCCAGTATAACATGGTTGTTTACATATAAAATCTTAATTCTTGTGATAGTTCTTTAATATATTTTAAATACAGCAGAATTCTGTCAGCTAACATCTAAAAAAATAATCTAAATTTTTAAATTGAAAGTATGCATACACGCTTTTTTTTTTCCCCCCCTTTTTTTCCTCCTCTTAGTAGATCTTATTCTGATTTCCAGTACTGCCCACCATTTTCTTCCTGGGATGGAATAATGACTGACAGATGTTGTGTGAGCCTTAGAATTAACAAAAGCCATTTCTTTTAGAAAAATGTATACTGAAATTACGTAATGTTGTTTCTTCTAACGATGTACCTTTATTGCTTGATGTTGCTGTTTGAAAGAAAGTAAGGCAGGCAAAACACAGTCTCTAAAATTATAAGATTTTGCTACAGTAAGAGGAGATGCCCATTAGGCAATAAGAGGAGCTAGCCAGTAATACAGTGAATTTTCTCTTTGGTTTAAGGTGCTGGAGTAGATGCCTGTATAAACTGCACACAGGGTTATTTTATGGAAGATGGAAGATGTGTGCAGTCCTGTAGTAGTGGTTATTACCTTGATCACTCTACTGAGAGTGGATACAAAAGCTGCAAAAGGTATGATCAGTGGCTAATATATGTGTCTGATGTTTTGCACTATATTACTGTGTTGAAAAAGGTAAAACTTATGAGAACATAAAACACCGCTGACTTCAAAAAATAGGAAAAATATATTCCATGCTAAGCAAATGAAGAAAAAGCTTTTTTTTTTTTTTTGAGTTATATTCTTGCAGGTTTTCTGCAAGTGTTTTTGTTGCACATGTATGTGTGCTCTTCATTTTTAAAAAGCCTGTAGTGAGAATCTGAGTAGGTATGCGTAGAAATGTAAATGTTACAAACCTGTCAGACGATCTGCGTTTCTCAGTAACTAAACAAAATATTGAAACTGAACTTTTTAAATTGCAAGTTAATTGCTATTCATAAGGACCATTTCAGTACTTCAGCTGCATATTCACAGATGTGGCACACGGACATGACCAGACTGCTGTCCCAATAGCTCACCTGACTCAGCGTACAAATGGGTGGATAAATCTTGGACAAGGCTGTGCAAGGAAGGGACATTTTTTTTTTTATTCCTTTCTTTGTTAAACAAATTCCATTTGTTGCCCTTTGCAATCATTTATTATTGACTCACTTGGAGCTCAGGGCAGGAAGGGAATCACCATGTTTTCTACACAAAAAAATAATTGATACACAATGAAGATACGATGGAGCCTGAAGGGTGATCAAAGGACTGGGCAGCAGGTCAGTCTTTTCCGTCCTGTGGCTTTCGCTCATGTATGAGCTGGCGCATGTATGCACGATCAGTTTAATGCTTTTGTTGATTACTTCTGCATAGTTCCAAACTAGAGTTATATGGCTGTGTAGTAAAAAAGTGTGAATAGAAACTGGTTGGAGGAAAAGAGCAGGACTGGGCTGCAGGGGGAGGTGTTGTTTTATTATTATTAATAAATATTATTATCATAATTATAGTAGTATTGATATTACAGCAGCTGATAAGCTCTAGAAAAAGCAAACAAGCCCTTTGCAATAAAGAAGAGGTCTACCAAGAACTCTTGTATTTGGTGAGGCCATAAAACCAACTCCTGCCATTGTCTTTCAGATGTGATGCCAGCTGCTTGGATTGCAGTGGTCAAGGAGACAGAAACTGCACGAGCTGTCCAAGCGGCTATAACCTAGACACTGGTGTCTGCGTAGTGGGAACAGTCTGCAAGGATGGTGAGTGCAGTTCTCTGAAATGATCCATTTTACCACTGCCAGCTGCTTCTTTTACATGTATCGGGTTGCTTTTGTCTGGTTCTTTTGTTACAGTCTTGATTTGAGGTCTACGTTACTTACTAATCTTTTCAGGTTTATGAAGAGGAGAAAACTAAATTTGTGTGTATTAACAAGATTAGTCATGTCCACTTTATCTGAATTTTCCTAAAATAGCTTTCCCCCCTGCCCAGAACCTACTTTTCCTTCCCTACCTGTTTTTCAAAAGCCATTGCTTTCAAAAGGGTTTTATATTAAGACCTTAGTGTACTATCAATAGAATCACATTTATCTATTTCACCACTTTAAACTGTGAAAATGCTGGTAAGTAAAAAGGATTTTAGGTGCCTGTAGTATTGCCTGAGTTATGTGAAAGGATGATGAGAACAAAAGAATTCTGCAACAGGGAGCACCCAAGTTGTGGTGGAGATTTAAACTTCCTCCCAAGTTCTCTGTGGCAACCAAGATAGCATTCTTGCTGCGTATGACTGGTTTAATTATTCACTAATATGCATTCCTTTCAAATGTCATAATTGCAGAGACACGTAGATAACATCGTGCTACCCTAAAAATGTTACCATGCGAATTACAGCCCAACAAGTGCAGTCCAAAAGGAGAATCATACCAGAACAAAGCCCAATGTTAAGCCATGTGGAAGATGCCCGACATCAGATGTACAAAAAGCTAACAATGGTTCTTGGGTCCAGCTCATTTCTGCTGGGTTTAGTAGGAGCTTTACCAAAGACTTAAAAAAAAGGGCCAGAAAGAGTGCAGGGTTGAGTCTTGTTTCTGTGGACCTTTACAGCTCCTGTTGGAATTTAGGCCTTCCAGCTTTGAGAAGGGCCCATTTCAGTACTGTCTCCCCCATTTTTCCAAGCACAGCTTCCATTAACTGGCAACAGGTCAGTGTGTGGCTCTGCTGGCGATGGCGATGCACCAGGCGGGACCCCAGCACACGGCACAGGTTCCCAACAGCCTAGGGTAGCCAAGGAAAGTCCAGAAGGTGGGGGGGTGTCTCTTAGTTTACAAAGCATAGGGGGGGTTCCTTTCATTATTTGGCAATCAAGCAGTGGTTCCTAGTCTGACTGACTCCGTAGGATGGGCATTTCCGTTGAGAATGTTTTATTCTTTTCTGTGGTTTAACTGTTTTATTCTTTTGATTCATAAAAATTTAGAATAAATTCCTTCACTGTAAATATCACTGTTTTCTAATTATTCTCTTTCTAACCTTTTTTTCCTTTTCACAAATGGATACCAATCATTCCCTGTTGGACCACACAATATCTCTTCCTGAAAAAAATAAAAATTAAAAATGCTGTTGACTGAAATTCCTTTTGATGGACCCAATTTCCTCCTTGCTACCTGCTCCTGAATGGTCTCTTCAACCAAATCTGCCTGTCTGACCAATTAAACCTTCCTCCATTGTACACGCCATGCTCTCCAAACCTTCAACCTCCCCTCCTTCTCTTGCTGCTGCCCTCCGGAAGCCACGGAAGAGTCCTGGGCCGAGGGAGGATTCTGTATGCTGGTGAAAAAGAACAATCTCTGCCAGCGGAAAGTGCTTCAGCAATTGTGTTGCAGAACATGTACGCACAAGGGGTGAACTGACACCTCCCAGTGTCCTCCTGCTCCTGTAGACTTATAGATTAATCCATATTATTGAAAAAGGAAAAAAGGAAAAAAAAAAGCCACCTCTCTCTCTCTTTCTCCCCCCTCTTTGTCTGGGGAGATGGTGAACTGTTTGTTGGAACTTAAATGGAAAAACTACAACACGCCTACCTTTCATAACTGGGTGTCTAGAGCTGAGCATCCAGGATCACAGAGTCAGTATTGTGTGACCAAAGCATTTGATGCCAAAATTAACATTTAACTCATGATTTGATTTCCTGTCAACCTTAGGATTATTCTGTTTTTTGAAGGTCGTTTTACTTCCCTTTTTCTCCTGCTTCTTTCCCCTTCAAGATGTTTAAAGAGTGTTTCAAGAATACGACACAAGTTTACATGGATTAAAACTAAAAAATACAAAAATGTTTGCATCAGTCTTTTTTGTGCTATGTGTATTGACAGGGGGAACTTGAGTTCCTGAGGGGATCAGAAACATCATTAGTTGCAGGACTAAGTTCTGCCCCTTTTGTAACAGTATTTAAAAAGAAAAAAAAAAGAAGAGTGAACGTTTCTGCACACATGTCTTTCTTACTTCCTCTGCTGTGTGCTGTTTTTTGTATCACATGCAGTATGTATATATATGTTTTCCCAAAATGTGGTTTTGGTCATATAGATTTCATTTTTAGACAGCTAGCTTATTAACAGATATGCTAGGATTTTTATTTTATTTTTTTAAATTGTTAAAGCTATTTCAAATAAACTTTAAAAAAAAAATCATTGTTACTGTAGTGAACAAATTCAAAAGATACTACTTCTTTTGGTTTGCATAAGCGAGAGTAATGTATACGCTCAGAAGTCGGAAAACATTGCTAACATGTAAGAAGTATTCATAAATTATTGTTGTCTTGTAGCGTTCACAAAAAAGGGGATATTATCATACAGCTATGTGGAGCTATTTCATAGTGCCCATACATAAATGCCAGTGTGACGATAGGCGACAGGATGTGTTTACGGGACTGGATTTATAATTGTGCCAAATACATCTCCAGGAATAATTACGTACAGGGCAATAAATCAGTGGTTCTCTTGGCGTAACAATCACGTCATGATGGGCCTGAATCTGCCTTTAACTGCTCACGGTAGAAATTTCAGCGGGAATAGTCCTGCTGAGGCCCACGGAGTTACCTCACTGTAAAACCACCCTGGGTGGAGAGAGAAGCGGCCCCTGCCTCTCCCTCATTCCCCAGGCACACAGCTGCCAGTACAAATTTCCGTTTCTCGTACCTTCATCAGCTTCACTTAGCACACTGTCCGAAAGGCAGTCATTTAGTGGAAAACAGAAAATTGAACTTCAAAGATACTGTTTTCAGGGGATAATATTTAAAATGTACTAAGTGTCTGTCTTAGTTGTCTTTCCAGGGCACACAAATAGAAAATGGATTGCAGGTGTTTAAGCGTGTAAATGTTAGAAAATAAAGAGGATCAGAAATTATTGTGGAACTTTTACAAACGAATGGATACAAACTTATAGGGGTAATGTGCCACCTTTAGCAGAGAGCAGATAAACTCTTTACAAGCTGGTTCGGTATGACAGGGAACCAGTGAAGCTCCTCTGGTGTCCATTACAAATTTCCTGATGAATATTCAAATCTAAAATAATTCAATTTGTACTAGTTTAACTACTAGTCCATTACTGCCTCATTTCTCAGTATAACATGTTTAACTAGAACATAATGCTTTCAAAGTTTAAGTTA